ACATGTATGTTAACCACTCTCTTTGCCCATTAAAAAAAGAGAGAAAAGATTTGTCACTCCTCAATAAGAATACAAGAACATTTTAGTTTGGGTCATTGAAATTTCACCTGGAAACTATGCACAGTAACCTAAAAATTCTCTGATCTATGAAACTGAATTAACTCTCTCTCATGCACCAAAGAAAAATGTCAAAAATGACAAAATACCTCCCTTACAGTATGTACTTGAAAGAGTACATGACCTTGAAGAGAGATGTTTTTTTTAATCTTGTCACAACTGTTCAACAAGGAAAAATCCTGGGTCAACTAGGTTCATCAACATCGACTTATCAGCTTACATGCTTTTTTACACTCACATCTACCAACAAATTCTCTCAACTAGCTAACAGGGACAAGTATGGCAGAAAGATAAGAGATTGACACTACTGATCAGATTTTGGCACTTCCAGGAATATAAAACTGTTTTCATCATTTGGTATTCAGTTTTTTAATAATGGTATGGCTTTTGGTGGTCAGAATGTTGCAGGAGTGAATGAATGCCAGCCAGCTTGTCAGTAAAAGTAGACACTATTGAAAAAAAAACAATAACAACAACAACAACAACATCGGCCCAACTTTTGTTTGCAGCTTTTACTTTCAAGATCAAGCTACAGTTTATTCAGGTATTGAAACTGAAAACAATGGAAATAAAAACAAAAGAAAAAGAAAAGTCTGGTTTTTGAGTTAACATCTGCACTGTAGTCTTTTCATTCAAATTTTAAAAATTTTGGGCCCCTTTGAGTTACCTGGACTTTTGAATGATGGGCCCTGTAGGTTCTTAAATTGGCTGATTCCCTTTCACTCCCAAGAAGTCATTGGTAATTCCCTTGACTGTCTGCCATACAATTCTTATGATGTAAATATAGAGAATTTGGTATTGGATCAACTGATAATCCTCTAATGGTTAGTCATCTTTAATCACATCAATTGTCTGGTAGCAAGTGACCAAGACAGCCTTTCTTTCTGCATCATCAATAAAGTATAAGGCAGACAGGTAATGAGAATACAGAAATATTTCAATTATGGGATTTTAGTTAAATTACCTGAAATAACACCATAAAAAATTAATTACAGACAGTAACGAGAATTACTCATGAGATCTTAGGAGTGAAAGGGTTTTATTAACTAGACTTTTGAGCAGTGTGCCCAAGGTTCTTATTAATAAGTACCCCTACATAATGAACAACCACTGTAGCTTTTTCAAGAGAATTTCTTCAAGCAAAAAAAAAAATTTCTATCAGCACAATTGTGTATTGTACTTACTCTTTATTACTGTGGTATCTTTGACAATGTACTCCTTGATGTTCCTTAACTTTACTACCAAACTACAGGTGTATGTTCCCCCATCTTGGAAACCAACATTTTCAAGCTCCAGTGGGGGTAAAAAATCATTTTGCTGCTCTGCATCTGGATCTGGATTCCGCACAGTCTCCAACAACCTCCCATCCTTATACCAGGAAATCCTCTTCAGTGGGGTGCTGTATTCGTTTCCTCTTTCAGTAAGGTTGCAGAAGATTTTGATGTTATCACCTGGATCAAGTAGAATGGAGCCTGGGACATTCACTTTTGGGATTTCACTTTCTGAAATGCAAAATTGTGTAAACCATTAAGCAAGGTTTATTGGCCATCTTGTTTATAGTGCTCAAGTAACAGGATGGGTGGATTTTTCTGTTTATTAGTAATAATCTTTTTTCTCTGTTGGAGTGGAGATCCACTTGGTTTATAGAGGTACTTTGCTACTGTACCTGTGAATCGTTATGTAAAAATAGCTACAACTTTACAATTTGAGATGAGGGCATAAATCTTGATAATTATTAACCACTTACACTACATGTATGCTGGATGCTCACAGACTTTGAGCTACTGAAAGTAGCCACACTGTTACTGCCCATCCTATTCTCAGTGGCATAGAGCAAAAAGCAGTCATGCTACTTCCCCCTCAATAATTCGCAAGTCTTTAGAAGAGTTAACCCCCCTCCAAGTATTCCCCCTGTTTCCTGACAGTTTATTGTTACCCATCAAAACTCCTTGACAAAAAGGATAAATAGACTAGACACATGCGCTTATTTTTAGGGTAAGACTATAAGGTAACGAAACTCCCCATGAAATGTAAACAGACTTACCTGTAATAACACTGACACTAAAGCCATGCCTCTTTTCTTTTACGCTATTATCTACTGCAAAAGCATGGCACTCATAGCTTCCAAGCTGACTGTTCTGACTGTCATCTTCTCTTGTTATATTCTTCCAAGTCATGGTAGTAAACAATTTTTTTATTTTACGTACACCTAAGAAAACACTTAACTTGTTAGCAGGGAGAGAAGGATATGGCTTTGTCCAGGACTGAGGGTAGCAATAAGGACAGAGGATTAGGGGAGGTTCTGATTCAGTTTCAGGCACAAATTTAAGAAAAATTAATGCATCACATATAATTATGAAAATGAAAACTTCAAATCTCTCTGTCAGTAAGGACAAAGTCAATAAATGAGAATTTTGTAAATTGAAAATTACCACCATTGTTGTTTTTGTAATCGTGATTCAACACATTTTTCCATCTTAAGAATTAGCACCAATGCACTCTGTGATTGTTATTTGAGGATTGTTGATTCATTTATTTTCATACTTTAATGAAGTTGGCTTTTCTTCCCAGTAAAGGGCTATTGTGTTTATATGATAAACAAAATAATACACAGTTCCTTGTAGATATGAAATTTTTCTTCTAATGTTCAACGCTACATCTCACTCGCTGCGCTCACTCATGAGCAATCAAGTTAAACACTCAAAGAGAAATTCCATATCTTCACACGCCCATGTATTATTCCCCATATATCACCCTCGCCTCAAATGGAATTTCACTGTTATGACTTATAACACAATAAGCCCAAAAGTGTAAGAATCCTGTTTTGGGAGTAAAGTTTGGAATTAAGAGGTTGTTGTTTTCTTTTTTAGGTGCTAGATGCATTAACTGTAATACAAATATGTACTCACCTACATATTCTGTTTTGGTTGAGAACAAGTACTCATCACCAGTTACTTCCCTATATAGATTAAGGTCATCTCTTCGATAAAATGTTATATTTTTTGGTTCTTGTGTACCAGTTGCATCAAATGCAATACAAGTAACATTGGCACGCGTGAACTCAAGGGGGTAGATGTTCTCTGGAAAAGGTTGTACAATTCCAAATGGTGGTTCCCCTAAAAGAAAAAAAAGAACGATTTATATCCATTAAACTTCTGAAAATGCTCATATACTAATATCTAATATCTAAAGCACCTCCTCCTAAGAAAGAGATCCAAACTGAAATTACTCAAAAGGTTGTAAGGATGCCAAAAAAAAACAACTACATATGAGAGATTGATGCACTATTCTGCATGGGATGACAGATGTTAATTTGAAGCTGTAATGGATTTTTACTCATACCTTCCAAAGATGTAACACACAATGTGACTTAACCTATGCTGTCTCTCCTTGATATGTAAAGTATTAACCCTTCACCCCCTAACATCAGTATGCATATTCTCCACACTGTTCTACATACATTCACAGAGAGACTGGCAGGGAGAATTTGTGTAACAGTCAAGAGCTGCTTTAGCTGGTGATCATTTCTTCTATTCTCATAACTTTCATGCTTGATTCACGGGTGAAATAGTAAGGAGAAATTAGACACTAGTCACTCTTAGGGGCTAAAGGGTGAAGCCAAAGTGCTTAGATCTGTCTTGGTAATTTACATTGATATATTACACATATTAGTATAGGTAATCACATGATTTCAAGTGCAATTTGGAATAAATAAGCACAAGTAAATTTTTTCAAAGACTAACAAAATTGCACAAGTCCATAGAGTGAGTGCAATTTGTGGTATTTGAAAAAATTCACAAGTGCTTATTTATTCCAAATAGCATGAGAAAATCATGTGATTACATATTCATAATATACATGAAAAAATATGAGATAGCTTATCAACATTATGCAGAAGCAAGGTGCTTGCATCAAGTGCAAAAATAATTTATTCAAACCCTGCAAATAACATTGTGCATTCAGTCAAAACAACCGCGTACAATCAAAATATTAATATACAAAGATATTTTCACATCATTAAGGTACAAAAAAGTTCAAAGTCAGGCTTAACAGTTCAAGGAATTGTTCAGTCTGGTTTGTGACTTTTTTGCATTGAATTACCTGAAAACTGCATCTATCTTAACCAATCAGAACTGAGTAATTTTTTCATGTATGTTATTACATGTTAAAGAATTAAAAGTCCGGACCACGCGCACAAAAATTACTAGATCATTCCATAACCAAGTATTGTTGTTATCTAGTAACTGCCCAAACACAGATCCGGTAACAGCAACATCACAGATTGTGTCATTTTCATAATAAATTTTCAAAATCGTCCTTGCCACATTGCAAGCATGTATTTCAAAACATCAAAAGAGGAAAAGTTTGAGCTAAACAATAGCAACACTTTGTCAAAAAATATCAATCTCGGAATTCAAGCTCAGCGAAAAACGTGATTTTTAAATAATATATCTTAAAATTTTTGTGACGACGTAGAAATACCTAGTAAATAAAAAACACTAGTCAAAAATAATTTAACACATTCGACATCACATATCTTTCATCGGCAACTCTTGAAAACAATCGAAAGGCCAAAGAGCTAAATTCCGTGGAACAAACAACATAATTCTCTGGTGTTGAATACTCAGTCACGCTTTTAGATTTTCTGATCAGTTCATCCTAGACTTGAGATGATTCCAGAATTATCGACAATTTCTGATTGTAAACTTCAAAACCAACATCGAAGATTCAAGACACCGCCTTTCATTTGTAACCACAAAAAAACCCGAGATGTTTTCGCCACAAGAAGCTCATAATTTGCATTGAGAGTTCGAAATTTATTCGTACAATACGAGAGTTAAACGCTTAAAAAGCTTCGAAGAAATTCTAAAATAAGGATTTATATGAGATCGTAAACCATCTCCACGAAAGCTTAGGTTTTCTTCAAAGGTTTCAACCGACTGTAAGGTGAATGCACAAATATAAATTCACAAACAGTTAACCGGCATGTTTTTTTCGCTTTCCTCTCAAGTTTCATTTGCACAATAAGATTTGTTTCGGAAGCTCTTGCATGACAAGTAAAAGTTCCTTCATAGCTACCATTGAATTTTTTAGGGTTCTTAAAACAGATTCAAACTTACCTTGAGCCTTTACTGTTGCACAAACAGTGAGAAACAGAGGAATAATTCTCTCTAATACGGCCATGATATTCGCCGCACCTACCAGTAAACTTTTTTATTAACTTGGCCCCAGGTGAAACTCAATCCCGGACAAACTTGAAATCGAGGCTGTTTGACGCAAGAGCTCTGTTGTTGCCAGTGTAATAATTAACAATTTAGGGACTCCTTCCTCACCTTAAGACTGAACATTCTTAGGATATAAATCAATATTTCCACCAATCTTTAATAAGCAGTATTTACAAACTATGTCACCGGTAATAAAGATGATCACCTCTGCATTTCAAAGAAAAAAAAGATGGCTTATTTCATAAGCAGGTTATTATGCGCGTTTTATCCGAATAATAAATACGAGGTACCGACTACCTCAGGCATACCTACCACCGAAAGTGAATTATTTTTAAAACAATTTACACTTGAAAGAAAAAAAAAACTAGTATCGACTATAAAATAGTCTAGCAATATGGGGGGTATTCCAAATACATTGGAGAGGAGATTTCTCAGTTCTAAATTAGAGACTGGATGAGAGATTTTTTATAGAAAGTTTCATATGCCACTCAAGTCATCTGAATTTCTTTATCGAATACCACACTATCATTTTTCTTTTCTATGTTGGAAAGCGTCCCTTTTTATGTCCTTTCTTAGATTAGCTTCGCTCATCAGAGTCTCCCTTATTTCCTAGCTTGCGGTGACACTCTCATTAGTCTCACTGTCATGAGTTTGCAGGGATGATATAATTAACACGTCGACGTTAATTCCTTTTAAACCGTTTCTCTTTGTTCTTCTCCCTTCTTCCAGCAAAGAAAATGATCACAAAGAGAAGAACGGCCTCAACCAGGATACCAACAGCTGGCCACAACGCACCCAGTGGATCTGCCAAAAAAAAAACACAACAGCACCCTTTCAACAAAGTTTTTTTCTACCTTATCGATTTTTGGTTCGGACCTGTGAATCTGACCGTTTGAGAAAATGGCGCGAAATTCCTGAGCTAATCACATAGCGACGTAAAGGAAAGCGAAAGCAATCTTGAATAATTTGGGCGCTCGACTGAAAATTACTTATGAGGAGGAAGTGAGTTCGTTAATTGTGCAAAAATACAGTCAGACTCCATATGGCTACTAATGTAGCAAACTTTTTTTTTATAGCATTAGAAAGAACTAGAGGTTGTTTCATGACGCTAGAAGGTAGCGTGGCAGAATATTTATCTCACATGCAAAACAGAAAACCTGCCGCATTCCACATATTTATGAGTATTCTGGTCTACAAGAGGAAGATGATTCAAGAATATAGTGTCTAATTGACATTCAACCAATAATTAAGTGGTAACAAATAATGATGTTATTAATAATAATAATGATGATGAGTATAGGTAACATAATGATAATTTTTGATAATTCAATAATTTAATTTAAAGGGGCTAGCTCGAAAGCCTCATGGTTCCCCAATCCTCTGGGCTCCTATAATGATTACCTATGCTTCTTTTAATTTCGCCTGTTAATTATAAATAATTTATCAGTATTGAGACTTTTGTTTCATACAAAGAAGCACTCCACGTTCTGGGATATTACGTCATTCCGCGCCACATGTGATTTCGCCTCCTATCGGAGGCAGTAGCCCTAACAAATTAAGGATAAGTTCCTACCTTTGACGCGGAGAACGAATCGTTGACAGTTATCTTTGACGTTATCAGAGCAGTTTGAGGGAAGACAGCAGTAGTAAAAGCCGCGATCAGAGTACTGCACGTCAGATATGGTGAGAACATACGGGTCGTAAGCGCTGCGACGTTGAATTTTGTAGCGTCCATTCGCCGTTCCGTCTAACGAAGTGCACAATACAAGATTGGTTATGGTTCTCTACAGATATTTTCAATTGAAATAGGCAATGGTGAATGCACAAAAAAATTACATAGAAATAAAGTTTATCGGGATTGAGGGATAAGTTCTCATTGTGTCTCCCCGAATCTGGCGTAAGAGGCAAAGTTGAGGGTCTCCATGTGGAAAGGGGTGGGTCGTGGGCGGGGTTCGACTTTGGCAGTTAGGGGGAAAACTTTGGCACAAATGGCAAGAAATGGCATCAATATCTTCCATGGTATTGAGACGGTTGATGGTTAAATTTGTGGAATGGCGGCAATAGGGATAGAAGACATCAAGATCATTATTTGTCACAGTTGGTGTAGCAGAGTTCAATGGTAGGGAAAGTGGACAATTTTGGAACCAGCGCGATCGTTAGGATCTGAAGGGAGAGGGAGGAGGCTAAACCGGCTACATCTTTAAATAACTCTTTGTAGATGATTTATAGAGGATTTATAACCTCTAATTATCCTGGAATAAACAAGTAATGCCTTCAGATAACGGAGGCGTTCCTAAAGAAGGCTTGTTCTGATTAAACACATTTTCGTGAGAAAAGGAAAAATTGTAGGCAATTAACATGAAGGAGGGTCGAAAAGGAAAGGGACGGTACATGAGTTTATTCGGTAGAAATAAACTGATCGTAGATTTAAAAGCATTTTTCGACACTTAATATAATAAAGGAAGTATGATCTTTGAAGTTAATTATACCCTGATAAAATTACAGTTGAGATTTTTAAAAGTTTTCCCTTCTTGATATCTTGAAGGCTTTTATTTCGACTGGCGTTGAAAGTTGATAGATACCCAACTTTATTCAGTTTTGAAGTCGTGTTTTACTCTGTGATCAATTCTCGCAGAGAGAAAAAGAAATGGGAAATGAAAAGTGAAAGACTTACTTATACAAGCTTGCACGGTGTCCTCATTTTTCTTCTTTATCTTCCATTCAATCTCTAGAGGAAATCCTTTGGCTGCACATTCAAAACTCACATTATCTCCTTTGAATGACTTCTGCTCAACATTGTGCAAATTTGGCTTAGCATTCTTTCCAGGTTTTGGAAGCCAGGTCGCAACTGAAAAAATATCGAGAAAGAAGATTTCATTCAATTTCTAAGAAATTTGAACCACGATTACGTGTTCAGTAAACAGATAGACAAATAGATAGATATATGGATAAATATAGATAGATAGATATATTGATTAATCGATCGATAGATAGATAGATAAATGGATAGATAGATAGATAGATAGGCATATAGATATATAGATAGTAGATAGATAGATAGATTAATAGATAGATAGACAAAAGATAGATATATGGATATATTGATAGATAGATAGATAGACAGATAGATGAATAGATAGATAGATAAATAGATAGATAGGTAGACATATAGATATATAGATAGACATATAGGTACATAAAGATAAGTAGATAGATAGATAGACATATAGATAGATAGATAGTAGATAGATAGATAGATAGTAGATAGATAGATAGATAGTAGATAGACAGATATATATATATAAATAGTGGATATGTAGACATAGATATATAGATAGGTAAATAGATAGATAGGTAGACATATAGATATATAGATAGACATATAGGTATATATAGATAAATAGATAGATAGATAGACATATAGATACATAGATAGTAGATAGATAGATAGATAGTAGATAGACATAGATATATAAATAGTGGATATGTAGACATAGATATATAGATAGGTAAATAGATAGATAGGTAGACATATAGATATTTAGATAGACATATAGGTATATATAGATAAATAGATAGATAGATAGACATATAGATACATAGATAGTAGATAGATAGATAGATAGTAGATAGACATAGATATATAAATAGTGGATATGTAAACATAGATATATAGATAGGTAAATAGATAGATAGGTAGACATATAGATATATAGATAGACATATAGGTATATAAAGATAAGTAGATAGATAGACATATAGATAGATAGATAGTAGATAGATAGATAGATAGTAGATAGATAGTAGATAGACATAGATATATAAATAGTGGCCGTAGACATAGATATATAGATAGGTAAATAGATAGATAGATAGACATATAGATACATAGATGGTAGATAAATAGATAGATATATTGATAGATCGATCGATAGATAGACATATAGATTGATAGATAGATAGATAGATAGACAGATAAATAGATAGATGATTAGACCATATGCCTACATATATATTTTAACTTGCATTTGTAATTTTAATATAAAATGTATTGTAACCCAGTCCCTTATTGATTAACAGCATGTAATTCTTATAGTTGTACATTTGTAACCACGTAATTCAGATCAACTACGATGATGGTGGAATTAAACTTCTTTCATTCTTTTATTATTATTATACATCACAAATGACGTCAAAATGCGGTGAGAACAAAACAACGGCGCACGAGGCGCGGTAGAGCATGTCACTGATGTAATTCTTACCCCAGTTTGACGTCGTTTCCGATCTACAACGCCAACATGGAATTTCTTTGCTTCATATAATCAAGAAGCAAAAAGTTATAATCGTGACGCTATGTATGTGTCTGTCCTCCAGTAGATCGTGAGAAGGAACCAATCAAAATACGTGTAGATTTCAGCTAAACGACAGTTTACATTTCCTTGATAAAGGTAGGCGACCAACAGTAAAGCTAATCTCTTGATGTGACTGATGTAAATTCTCTAAAATGGCTTCAAGAGCATACCGGAGCTTTTTTTTTCCAGTAAGATTGCAAAACTATAAAAAATAGCTTGTGTCAGTTCGATAATGGAAACGAGGATCACTAAACGCGTTTATGAGTTACAGGTAGACCGTAGTGTTGCTATGGTAAAAGTTTTATATTAAGTATTTCTCAAAAATTTGGAAATGGAAATGTGTTTATTGAGCCTTTAAAGAAGGAAAAGGAAAATTGTAGTAGTAGTAATTGTAGTAGTAGTGATCTATCAATTTTTGTTAAAAATGTAAGTCACCATCAGCGACAGAAGTTCGTAAAAGATCACAGTAGGGTTACCTCAGTTATCGAGCTTGTGAAATTAGAAAAACACTTACTGCGAATCATAGCGTCATCCGACACGTTGTGTCCCAGAACACCTCTTAATTTGGCTTCCAGAACGCACGAGTATATTCCTCCATTTCTGACTCCCACGCGTTTAATTTCCCGTGGAAACTCAAGAGAGTCTTTTTCCGATTCTTCGATTTTCAGACTATCTAACAACACATCATCTTTAAACCAATACATTTTTTCTAGTTTATTTCCATCGCTTCCTTTATTGGTTAAGTTGCAAAAGAGGTTGAGGTCTTCATCGTGTTTCAGGACTTGAGTGTCAGGTGTGACTGTGACTTTAGGAATTTCGTTCTCTGGGAAGGCAATAATAGTTGACTCTTTATTTTTGAATAACTTGCTACATGAAGACAAAAATGGCCCATGTTAGCAGTTTATATTTCAATCCTACTACTGACGAGTGTGACTGACTTTCAGGGGAAGGCGGAAAGGATAGCTAACTCGGGCGTA